ACCTTGCAATGAGGGTGGGCGCTCTCTCTGGTAAGCGGTGTTATCCCGACAGTTATTTCACTCATCTCAAGTTACATTATGACCCGCCGTCATATATATCAAATGTGACTTATAACGTAAACCAGAATCTTTTATATATGTCTTCGAGAAGACTTTTTATAAATATTCTTGAAATTCGAAGTGAATGTTCGACTGTGGGTGGTTGGAAAACAGACAAGAGTACACTCTGTGCTCGTGTGATAATAAATATTCCCTTGCAGAGGTGATCGCCATGAATCACAGCAAGCCGAGCTGTTAATGATAACGTGGTGAATTAGTACTATTTTCAGGGCTTAGAGGCCTTCCTGTGGAGCACTCGCTGTTGTTTTTGGCCTCCATCGTTCAAGCTTGTAAATCGATGCAACAGCATATTTTTGTGTGGAACATCACAGAGTGCAGGTTCAAGTTAACATTTCGTCTACGTGCTCACGTATTTTGGCTTCAAGTGTGTTTGCAAGGGAGAACAACTAATCATGGTCTTTGTGATGCTTCTCCTGAGACAATGTACTTCAGGCCCAGTGACAAACTTCTGTGACGCGATATGACCGGTACAATAACCTCCGTAGAAGTAGCCTTGAAGTAGAAACTCCTTGGTTGTAAGGAATGAATTATCACTTTTGTCACTAACAAATAAATTTTATAATGAAACCAAAAATGCAAGAACCACCCATGATGTTGGCTGTAACGAAAAAAAATAAAAAATGGATTCGCGTGAGGCTCCTCAGTTCAAATGTAGCATAAAGAGCAGAACAAATATTCACAGACAATTCCCAGCCACATTTGTTTTTGTTTGTTTTTTAGCGTTTAAGAAAGTTGCGACAATTGTGGTCAACCATCGCAAAGACGCATTTTCTTGTTTCAAAACTGTGTAATCATGGCAGGAAAAATTCGGTAGATCGTGTGCACAAGAAGGGTCAAACGTTTATTTATTTATTTATTTATTTGACAATACTGCTAACTCCTGGTGGAGTTTAGTGTAACGTTCCAGAAGAGTAAAAGCATCAACACGCCAATTTTAGTGTCTGTTGTTTGGAAGTCTCCGGAATGTCGGTACTGCTAAAGGTCGGGAGCTGAATATTCCATCATTCTTCAAACAAGCATGCCCCGCCGCGGTGGTCTAGTGGCTAAGGTACTCGGCTGCTGACTCGCAGGGCGCAGGGTTCGAATCGCGGCTGCGGCGGCTGCATTTCTGATGGAGGCGGAAATGTTGTAGGCCCGTGTGCTCAGATTTGGGTGCACGTTAAAGAACCCCAGGTGGTCTAAATTTCCGGAGCCCTCCACTACGGCGTCCTCTCATAATCATATAATGGTTTTGAGACGTTAAACCCCACATATCAATCAAATCAAACAAACATGAGTTCTGAATAAGTTTAATAAACCAATATTTATATGTCACAATTTCACCTTCTCATGTTCTACTGTATTCGTACTGTAGCGGGCGATGACACCGGTGATCGCGATAATTTTATTTGTGAGCACATACAAATTCGTATGCCTAGGCGCACGGCGCAGACGCGGCCAACATGCCTCACGTTATCTCCAGGAGGGCCTGCGGAAGATACGCAGCCTCGCCCCTTTTGGTTGTCGCTTTCGAGGCCTCTTTTTCTTAGAAAATAAACTAGTCTTGTCCGAAACTTCAAGGAATGTGGGTGCCTTTGTTTCGCGCCTCCGTGGGGCAAGTGCGCTACAGTACCATCCTGTTCTGTTTTTCTATGGAGAAGTTGGGGTCTATACTACCTCAGCTGCTCCATATATTGATAAATTCTGCAGCGAAACAATAATAACAATGAATAATACCCGGAATGAACAATCAGCAAAAAACTAAACATATTAGCGCAACAAAACCATTTCAATGTACAGTTTGCTTGCAGCAGTTCACAAAGGCATAAAACGTTGACGCGCACACCTTTCTATTTCTACTCACAATATATATACTAATGCATCATTTAGTAAAGGCAGACCCTAGCTATATCGAAGCGCTTATTCAGTGCGGTCTCCGCTAAGGTGTCGGTCAGGAAGATGTTCTTCTTTTCTGAATATGCATCCCAGGCCATGGTCCAAGTAATTTCTTTAATATCAGGGGCCGTCTGTCCACACTTGTTAGTTTCTTTTTTAGTTTTTCTTTTTCATTCGCGCACTTTACGCACTCTAGAAGAGTATGGCGACGATTTTCATTCTTCATGATCACAGTAGCATTGCGGGGGGCTGGATCAGTGTATTCTGGGCAGGAAGCTGTTTGTGTATGTTAATTCTAGTCAAAAACTGTGGGTCAACGTCTTTAAGTGTTGGGGAAGATCTGCCGTTGTTGAATATTTTCTGTGTGAATCAACTCCATAAAGTACAGATTGCTTTTAGTGGTTAAGAAACCACTGCTCCACAGAACAGTGTTTGGCTCCTTGCGTTATAAAATTTCAAATATCCGCCCCAGACATAAGGATTGCGCAATCCAGTCCTTCATTCAAGCTTTCTTGACGAGGCTGTCGGCCTCTTCATTACCCTTTGTTCCAATCTGGCTCGGTATCCATCGGAATACAATGTTGTGTCCCTGCGCTAAGGCATATTCGCCTCGTATAATGTATCACTTCGTTTTGCGATATGTTCTACGATTTCACCAGTTTGTAAGGTGATCTCGCATGTTTAATTGTCTGAAGGGCAGATTTGCTATCCCTGCATAACACCCACTTTCGTGTCCCAGAATTCTCGCAGAAAAAGTTAACTGCTTCACTAATTCTGATTTCTTTGATGAACATTTGTGCGATAATTTATACATTGTCTTTTCTTGAACTTCGAGTACAAAACCGCACAGCCTGACGCTTCTTCAGTGCAGGGCCCCTCTGTAAATTCCTTCGTTTTTTAGGTGTGCATTGAATGAAAACGATGACGCACTATCTGTACTGCCACTAGAGGCGCCATGTCTGCTTTCTTGCGCATGCCATCTATTTCACAAATAGCATTCTGGACCGGCTGCGTTTCAAATAGTTATTGGTTAACATCGTTTATATCTTGGTAGCACTGCTCGAAATGATGACGCACTATCCTGTAGGCTCGTTGCCATCTTGTGTGTTCTGATTAATTTTGATTGATATGTGAGGTTTATTTTCCCAAAAGTACCATATGATTATGAGAGACGCTGTAGTAGAGGGCGCCGAAAACTTTGACCACCTGGGGTTCTTTAATGGGCGACGAAATCTTAGCATACAGGCCTACAGCATTTCCGCCTCCATCGAAAATGCAGCCGCCGCAGCCGGGATTCGATCGCGCGAACTGCGGGTCCACAGTCAAGAACCTTATCCATTGGACCACCGCGGCGGGGTGCGTGGGAATTCTAAATAAATGTCTAAATGTTTCTATTGCTCGGAATACTGCCACAGGTGGTTGTCCAGTTTCTGCGTACACCAAATCACTGAAAGTCAGCCATGGCAACCCCAGACATACCCTTAAGCTCCTTGCCCATAATAAGTGAAGTCTCCTTTTGGTGGAGGCCGGAGTTTCGTGCAGAGAGTAACTCTCCACGGGTCGTATGTACGTAACAAGTAGAGCTAACAGGGAATCTGTGGTAACACCCCATTTAGCCCCGGAAAGATAACGGAGGATATGGGAACGGATGATGTATGGACGTCTGGTCCATCGTTCTTGGATGCCCAACGAACATTACTAGAAGGATTAGATTATGTAGACCGTTTCTTAGAAGAAGACTTTTGGCTCTGGGTCTGACAAAAACAGCCATACTGCTACTCACACTAAAAATACCTGAATAATTCTAAACTACTCTGCAATCCCGACCTATTCAAATGGTAAAGACTCAGAGATTCTTAGGTGGGATTTTATACCAGAGAATAACATGGTCACCTCATGTTCAGACCCTGTAACGAAAAATGAATGAAGGGGTGGACTTTCTACTTTAAATTTAGCTAGAACCCTGGGATTGTGCGTTTTTGTATGTAGAATGTTTGTATGAGTTCTAGCTCTGATTCTTTCGAGCCTATTTATATCTCAAAGAACGAACGAATATAACGCCAAATTATTACTCCCGACGCTACTCTATTATCACCAAGTCTGATTGTATGAAGCCATTAACAACAACCGTTGCGGCTTATTTACTTCATTAGCAAGAAGAGCAACAAAAAAAAATTAAGGGCTTGGCCATACAAAAAAGTAAACAAGATGACAGCTTGTATGCGTAACAGCTGAAAAAACGTAATAAGAGCGTGCGATCGAGTATTTACCGCACCTAATCATTCTCCAATACATTCACAGTTATATAATCTGTATTCACGAAACTTTTTTGTGAAGTACAAATAAAATATGCGCACCTTCTCCTTGCAGCATTTACACCTAAGTATTTGTTAGCTTATTTAAATATTTATTATTTATTTGCCTATATGGCCCATTGTAATACCAGGAGGCCATATTGAATGCATGAACAACTCTAATTACAATAAAATGGCAACAACAAAATAATTATAAAAAAGTACTAAACAAGAGCTAGCAGCAGCGCGTTGAATCTGACGATATGGACTCGCATGGTTCAAGGAAATTGTAGTGAGAGGAAAAGTTTTGTGAGACCAAGGTGTGAGTACTTTTACTCCGTAGTGCTGCAACGCAAGGAGACAAGTACGTAATGTGGAACTTCAAGTACGGGTATTGAAAAATAGAATCTATGAAACAAGACATGCAACAATATTACCAAAACAAAAAAATGTTCATGTGAGAGGCTGGCAGTATTGCTCAAATACAAATAATAAGATGTTACGGCTTAGTAAACAGATGCACGCAAGGCTCCCATACGCTTTCCACTAGAGATACTGAGCGACTTTCGCGTTTTCTCGTCGCTTCATAGGGACTGCTTTCCGTATCTGATACACGCAAAACACGTGGCATTTAATAATTGAGTTTTAAGCTTAACCTTCTTAGTTTCTAGTTACAGATCCCTATATCACTTTTTCTTTTTCTCTTTCCAGCGACATTACGACCACCGACTCGACTTGGTAAGCAGAGTTCTTTTCAAGCCTCTGTGGTTCATGATCAAACTTATCAAAAAAAAGATTACTGCAGATCCACGAAGGGAATGACAATGAGTGGGGCGAAGCGTCCTTCTGTCCGTCCATGCGTCCGTCCATTCATTTGTCTGTCTGTCTGTCTGTCTGTCTGTCTGTCTGTCTGTCTGTCTGTCTGTCTGTCTGTCTGTCAGTCCGTCTGTCTGTCTGTCTGTCTGTCTGTCTGTCTGTCTCTCTCTCTCTTTCTGTCCGTCTGTCTGTCTGTCTGTCTGTCTGCCTGTTTGTCTGTCTGTCTGTCTGTATGTCTGTCTGTCTGTCTGTCTGTCTATCCGTCTGTCTGTCTCTCTCTCTCTTTCTGTCTGTCTGTCTGTCTCTCTGTCTGTCTGTCTGTCTGTCTGTCTGTCTGTCCATCTGTCTGTCTGTCTGTCTGTCTGTCTGTCTGTCTGTCTGTCTGTCTGTCTGTCTGTCTGTCTGTCTGTCTGTCTGTCTGTCTGTCTGTCTGTCTGTCTGTCTATCCGTTTGTCTGTCTCTCTCTCTTTCTGTCTGTCTGTCTGTCTGTCTGTCTGTCTGTCTGTCTGTCTGTCTGTCTGTCTGTCTGTCTATTTGTCTGTCTGTCTGTCTGTCTGTCTTTCCGCCCGTCCGTCCGTTCGTCTAGTAAACACTCTAAGGGCCACCATATCGCATCTTTTTCATCATATATTCGTCATATACAAGTACCGCAATCCAGCGGACATTCCAAGGACTAAACGGAAGGTGGCGTCTACTAATACCACGATGACGACATGGGACATACGACCTACAGCGCAAGGAGCTTCGCCCCTAAATAAAGCGTCTTGGCAAAGGCTCAGCGTCTAATAATTATCAAAACACTACAAAGAACAAAATGTATACATCGCATGAATCGTTATTTACAAAATAATAACTGCTATGTACATGATAACTTCTCCCTCATAAAAAGTACTTTAGGCCAGCCTCGGGTTGAGTGCTAGCTAGTGCTGTGGAATAGTGATTTCATCAGCTCGGTGCTCCAGCGTTTAGTCTCCGGAGATAGCGTACTTTTTAACCATCTACGAGATCTTAGAATAAAGTGGAGGGAAAACACCATTGCAGAGGAAAATGTTATAGTAGCTGTCTAGATGTTTCCTTACCGTGTAGCTACCTGCCTGAAATGTATTCCCTTTCAGAACCCTTACTAAATATAACCGATGCCTAATCAAGGATGTCCTATGCCATTGCTCCTATTAGCAGGTGGCAGTTAGTTTCGACATTTCCAATATGCGAAGTCTTTTAGGAAGTCTCCACCTTTATTATTTTTTGTGAACATGTGATGGATGATAAACAAGCACGTCTGCACAAAGTGACCTTGAGCCTTCATGCGCACGCACATTTTTTTCCCGCCTACCAGCAGAGTCAGCCACCAGAATGCAGTGTTCGACTTAGGTAGTGTAGAGTGCTCTCGTTGTTTTTTTATTGCTAGAATAACAGCAGAGTGACTGGAGCAGCGCTGCCGCATCAAATTTTCCTAGAAACTGGGCGACAGCCAAGTGGAAATCATTAAGAAGAGACAAAGATGAAATGTCTTCGCAGCAGACAGATTAAGGTGTGGTACAATCATTTTAATGATGGCCACGCATCGGTGGAGAGCAAGCCACGCCATCAACATGCCATCAACATACCCAAATCAGCCATCAACATGCCCGGTCATCAACATGCTATCGGTCAGTCATCAACATGCCCAAATGACCAGGTCGTTGCTGAAGTGAACGCTGTGGGGATGCGGGACCATCGTGTGTACTATCCAAAAATGTGTGAAAGAGGTGGGCGTCAGCAATTTTCCGACGCAATGTATATGACTGAAGATTTGGCCGGGAAGAGAGTTGCGGGGAAATTCGGGCCAAAGATGCTCATGAAGGAGCAAAACAAATTGTTCTTGAAATTTCACATATGCTCAATTCTATAAATAGTGAGCTCAGCTACGCGCGAACAACGTAATCACAGGTGACGAGTCTTAGATATGACTAGGAAACCAGATCTCAGTAGTCAAAGTGGAGACATTCCACGTCACCGAAATCAAAGAAGGCACGCCAGGCGCGCAGCAACGTCAAAGTGATGCTGACTGCATTCTTCGACTCCGGTGGTGTGGTACACCATGAGTATGCGCTAAGGGTCAGAAAACCACAAAATAGTACTACAGGGTTGTTTTCTGTCACCTATGTGATGCTGTGAGGCGCAAAAGACCGGATTTGTGGTCAGCAGGAAATTGACGCATTCACCATGACTATGCTCCTGCGCATTTTTCACATTCAATTCAGACTATTTAGGCCCAACAATAGGCTCCTGAAGCTCCACAGGCTTCTTTCTCTCCTGGTATGACATCCTGCGGATTCTGGCCTCTCTTCCTGAATAAAAAGCTGTTTGAAAGAGCGTGATTTCAGACACGAGAGAGCATTATAGCTGAAGCGACAGCTGAGCTAAATTTTATTCTAAATTCCTAAAGAGGCCTCTTTGGAATGCTTCCAACAATGGCAGAACTTTGTGTGTAGAATCCCAAAGAGACTACTTTGAGGATGGTTGGGATTTAAAGCCTGCAGTTGTTATGCCAGTTTTTTCGCCAAAGCGCTCATACTTTACTAATAGACCTCGTATAACAGTGCTAATATTGGGCCGTAAAAATGACATAAACCATAGCACTAATTAAAACCTAATGTATTTTATACTTCCAGTCACCTTACACACACTTTATCACAACTTAACTTCATGACAACAAAAGCGAAAAAATTATGTTTAGGGAACAGCAAAAGATTTATACTCTGACTGAAAGAATGAAGTATATTTCGTTGTTAGTCAGCGCCGTGGTACATGTCCTTCCTTCGTTCCGTCTTTTATGCGCTGTTTTTACTGGAAACCATGAACCAACCAGCCTAAACGCATACCTCACTATATATTTACCATCATCTCTAACGCCTCTAACAGCGCTTCTTGCTCTTTTTTGCAGCAACGGTCAACTTTGGAACGTCCTTCTGTGAGTATACGTGTCCCACGAATATATTTATGCAATTGTTACCCAAACAGCATCGGCACGTGCTTGTGTATGCGTTCGGGAGAGGGAAGCCGCTGGGATATGTAATTTAGGCTACATATTACCAGTTTATCTAGCCTTTAAATATTGCACCAGTGTAAATATAAATGTAAATATAATAATTAAAAGTACCAAAGCTGACACGTCGGTTAAAGTACGGCATTGTAAATGCGGAGCACTTCTTAATCGCACGATGTTACGCGTCGTGCGTCGGCGTTGTACAAACACCCACTGCGCATGCCCTTGCCTAGCGTATCGTGCTTCATTCGTAGCTTTGTCGTGCCAACTGTTTGCTCCCCCCTCTCTCTCGCCTCTGAAAGCTGACGCCGACAGCGTTTAATAGTAAAAAATGACTCCTCGAGCTGTACAATCATTCACTAGCCACCCCGTATATGTAGGTAGTTAATTGCACACCACAACAATTAAGCAACATTCCCTCAGTACCCCCACCACTCTGCGACTCTATTATACAAGTACAGCTAAAAAAATGTGGGCGGCAATTTCTTAGCTGAGGATCGTCTTTCTGTGAGTATCACACACCAAATTTTAATAGGGCATTAATTTCGGTGTCAACTACTTCCATGTTACTAATTGGTGGGGTTCAACATTTCGAAACCACCATATGATTATGAGAGGCACGTATTGAATGGCTCCAGAAACTTCGTTCGACCACCTGGGGTTCTTTTACGTTCACCCAAGTCTGAGCACACGGACGTCAAGCATTTTCGTCTTCATTTAAAATGCGGCCGCCACGGCAGGGATTTGATCCCACGACCTTCAGTACAGCTGCCGAGTGCCTTAGCCAATAGATTACCGTAGCGAGTGTTGTCAGCTATTTTGAAATTCATCATGCTGACTGTATTCCGGTTTTAAATAAAATTTTCTTAACTATCTTTACGTGGGTCACTTGCTGTATGAACGACACACTTGGTCGTTAGATCCACAAGGCAACTGCGTAAATAGCGACGGGAACACGAAATGCCCTTTCAAGTTTCAGCTTTGTACTGAAGAAATCCCGCACTCATTTTGTTGAAACGAGTTTCTCTAGGCAGGTGCGAATACTGAGACAAGCAGGCTTCCCACAGGATGTATTAGTAAAGGTCTGCAAGAAGTTGATTAAGAAGAACAAAAAAGGTTCTGATGGGGTAGCAACTTGGAGGAGAAGGCGCAGCATAATAAAATGGTGGTTGCTTCATGTGTTCACGATTTTACCCACCGCCTCACAAAAAACATGCATCATGACATTTCGTCGAAGTGGGAATTCCTGCCAAAAACAAGTTATTCACTTTATGTCCCAAAGTAGACAGACGTATGGCTAATCAGCAAAATGTCCACCAAGGTAAATTCAACGTCAGTCATGCTCACAATTATATATCCTGTATCACTGCTGTTGGCTGATCCCTACCCCTGTCTTGCAATCATGTATACGTGGGTCAACAGGTCAAGGCCTAAATATTACTCTTCGAGTACATTATAGTTCTCTGAAAGGTCACTCCGGCCTTAATATAGTAGCCCACTGTAATGAATGTGGCTGTGAACCGTTCTTTAGGGACACTTCTGTGTTGTTTTGACATGAGAACCAAAGAGCACGTGGAAGTATTGAGGCTGCGCACATTAACAAGAAATATGTCTTGCGTCAGTGTTTCCTCGGTTGCCTTGCATGAAAAAGAGTCAAGATATCTTGGTCCTGTGTGATGGGCGTACTATTGTTGATGTGGCCTGTCTTTTTATCGAATTGGTGCTTATTTACTTTTGTCTTCTCCCCCTTTACCCTCTCTTGCGTTCCATCCTGTTCTATTGTATTGCCTCGTTTTCGCAATAAAGCTTCGGTTGATGGTCTCTGCCTGTTTTTGTTTTTTTCTCCTGTCGTGTTTGCGTCTGTCTCTTTCGCAGTTTTAATTAGGGTCATTACCAACTCGCTCAACTTACCATTCTTTGCTAGTTAGAACACAGCCTCACTGCGAACATTGGCGCGTATTCACCAACAGTGGTCTGCGCTAAATATTTCACGCTGAAAATTTTCTCAAGATATTATTGTTGCAATTTGCAATGCAGCACATATCATTAATTATTTCAGCTAGCACATGAGAAAACGGTCTTACAAAAGAGAAGTTTTGAGCATATGGCTCCTTCACTTTACCAATTAATTATTCATTTTCAGCAACGTTCCGACCGGGGACACGACCGCCAAGTGAGTTATTATCCTTTCGTTTTTTTACGAGCATAGTGCCCACTCCTGCTCATTATAGGGGGAAGTGGTGCAGACTCATCTCTTGTCTTCTTTGGGTACATGATTTCTTACATATTGTTACTGTGCATCATCGACAGGAGCAAGCGTGGCACTTAGCGAAGATGAAGAAGACGCCTGTGCGTTGGGCGCTTGCACGAGAGGCAACTCAGACATCTTGTTCGGCTGCCGATTCTCGGTGGACGCTGTCCTGTAAGCCAAGACCTCGCTCCGTCACATTTGGTGGAGGTGCTGGGTAACCGCCTCGCAACGGAACTTCGCAGCGGCCGACGTTTAAAAGGTCATTCCACAACGATGACGGAGAGTACGGCGTCTGCATCTGCTCCTGGTGTTCCTGCGGCCGGAGATGATGCGGTAACTACATCTCCTTCTGCGACCACAACCTTTGTGCTCGAACCCCCGCGGGATCCTGGCACGTTCAGCGGTTCCGGCGATCCAGATGAAGTTGACGTTCAAGATTGGCTGGCAGAGTACGAACGTGTGAGTATTCGATACCGATGGGGCCCGACTCCTATGCTGGCAAACCTGTTATTCTATCTTAGGGGAACCGCCAAATCGTGGTATGAGAACCATGAAACAGAACTTGTGAGTTGGGCAGCGTGCAGGGAGAAAATGCTGGACCTGTTCGGAAAGCTGATTGGAAGAAAAATGGCCGCGAACAAAATGCTCGCGTCTCGGGCGCAGACCTCGACCGAGTCTTACGTCTCCTATATAGAAGATGTGTTGTCGTTGTGTCGCAAAGCCAATGCCGATATGCCGGAGGCTGACAAGGTCGGGCATATTCTTAAGGGGATTGCGGATGACGCATTCAACCTCCTCATCTGCAAAAATTTTTCTACAGTGGACGCCATTATAAAAGAATGTTGGCGCTTTGAGCAAGCGAAGAGCCGGCGGATTACCAGCGTGTTCACCCGCCTTCCGAATACGGCTGCAACATCATCTTGCGAAGACCGTGCAAGAACACAGCCACCACCTCTAGATTCATCGGATCAGGTGACCCGAATTGTACGGCGCGAACTTGAAGCCATTGCCTCTGCTCCGGCTCACACCGCTGCAAGTGACACCACCCCACTCACTGCTAACATGGTTCAAGCTATCGTCCGCCAAGAACTCGCCAGCATAGGTATTCCCTCGGTGTGCGCTTTGCCCAGCCCGCAGCGAGCTTCATGGCGTCCACCCTCGTCCTATCGCGAGCAGCAGTTCACGGCCCGATCTCGCGACCCTGCGGCGTGGAGAACCGTCGACAATCGACCAATTTGTTTTCATTGCCACCGTATCGCTCATGTCGTCCGTTACTGCAATTACCGCTGGTCCTCGCCACCTCGGACTTCATCTCAACCTCACTACCGACAGGACAGCACCCGCTTCGCGTCTGCCGTGCAGCCTTCTCCGCAAAACAACTACAGAAGGTTCAACAGCCGATCTCCGTCACCGCATGGTCATCAGTCGCGTTCGCCTCCAGGACGTCGCCAGTCGTCTCGCTCACCGCAGACTCGCAGGCCGTCATCTCCATTCAACCCCGCTCCTGCCTACCCGGAAAACTAAATGGTGCAGCGCCCGGAGGTGACGCTGCATCTTCGACTCCCTCCACAAATCCTCTCTTGACGCTTCCGACGAGACAAAATTTGTTAGACGTTGCCGTTGACGGTGTGCCTATTTCTGCCCTTATAGATACTGGAGCGCACATTTCTGTAATGAGCGCGAACCTTCGCCGACGCCTACATAAAGTGCTCACGCCTGCCGCTTCCCACAAACTTCGTGTCGCTGATGGGAGGACCCCTGATGTTCAAGGGATGTACACGGCCCGTGTGTCCATTGCCGGTCATCCTACATTAGTTCAGTTTGCCGTCATTGAAATGTGTCCTCATGACCTAATACTTGGTTTGGACTTCCTGTCACGTCATTCTGCGCTCATTGATTGTGCCACTGGTGCTCTTCAGCTTGAACTGCCGCAGTTTGCCGATTTTCCAGCAGACCATTCTCCCCGTTTACTCTCTCGTCACCACGTTCGCTTGCCTCCGCAAGCTGCTACATATGTCACTTTGTCGTGCTCACGTCATGTGCCCGACGGTGACTACCTCGTCACTCCTATAGTCGACGTACTGATGGCCCGAGACGTCGCCCTTGCTCACACTGTTGTCGCCGTCGCTAATAATACAGTGGTTATACCACTACTCAACGTGAGTCTCTTGACTCATGTTATTCCGCAAGACATGTCTTTGGCCACCCTATCTCCACTTGACAGCTGCAACGTTACTGGTTTGGACACCGATACTACATCCCCCTGTCTTGGCCGCAATTACACTCTGCCTGCAGATGACATCAACAAGATGATTGCTCCCGACCTCACTGCAGTGCAAGCTGCCAGCCTCCGCAGTCTGCTAACATCATATAGAGACGTTTTCGACTTTGACCACCGCCCTCTCAGCCAAACAACTGCAGTGACTCACCGGATCAACACTGGTAATGCCAGTCCTATACGGCGGCGTCCATATCGCGTATCTCACAAGGAACGCCAAGTAATTCAAAATGAAGTGGATAAAATGATTACTAAAGACGTAATAGAACCCTCATCCAGCCCCTGGGCCTCCCCAGTCGTGCTCGTTGAGAAGAAAGATGGCAGCTGGCGCTTTTGCGTGGACTATCGCCATTTAAACAAAGTGACCCACAAGATGTCTACCCTTTGCTTCGGATTGATGACGCCCTCGATTGCCTCCATGGTGCCCAATACTTTTCGTCTATCGACCTTCGATCCGGCTATTGGCAAATTTCCGTCGACCCCATGTATCGTGAAAACACCGCTTTCGTTACGCCCGACGGCCTCTACCAGTTCAAAGTCATGGCGTTTGGACTGTGTAATGCGCCGGCAACTTTCGAGCGCATGATGGACTCCCTTCTCCGAGGATATACGTGGTCCATCTGCTTATGTTATTTAGACGATGTCATCGTCTTTTCACCCACCTTTGACAGCCATATAACACGTCTGTCAGCCGTTCTGGATGTTTTGCGAAGAGCTGCTCTCCAGCTCGATTCCGCAAAATGCCATTTCGGACGTCGCCAAATCACCATACTCGGCCACCTTGTCAGTGCCGATGGTGTTCAACCAGATCCCGAAAAGGTGCGAGCAGTAAAACAATTTACTGAACCACGCTCAACCAAGGACGTCCGAAGTTTTGTAGGGCTATGTTCCTATTTTCGTCGATTTGTCCGCAACTTCGCCGACATCGCTCGACCGCTTACTGATCTCTTAAAGAAGGACGTTCCCTTCGCATGGGGTATAGAGCAAGCGGACGCCTTTTCGGCTCTTATCCATCTGCTGACTACGCCACCAATACTGGCCCATTTCGACCCAGCATCACCAACAGAGCTTCGGACCGATGCCAGTGGCCATGGAATTGGAGCGGCCCTTGGCCAACGACAGCACGGGAAGGACCGCGTGATTACTTACGCCAGTCGTCTTCTTTCACCTGCCGAACGGAAGTTCTCCATCACTGAGCGTGAATGCCTAGCTTTAGTGTGGGCCGTGGCAAAATTCAGGCCTTACCTGTATGGCCGAACTTTTTCCGTTGTTACGGACCATCATGCTCTTTGCTGGCTGTCATCGCTAAAGGACACATCTGGACGTCTTGGTCGCTGGGCGCTCTGTCTGCAAGAATACTCATTCGTGGTCCACTACAAGTCGGGACGCCTCCACACAGACGCAGACTGTTTGTCCCGTTATCCGGTTGAAACACCCGACTTGACAGACCTTGATTCAGACCCCTGCGTTCTCTCCATCCACGCTTTGGGTGATATCTCCACCGAACAACGACGTGACCCGTCGTTACTCTCCATTATCGAGCGCCTGGCCTTTGCTCCAACAGACCCTTCCGTTCGCCTGTTCGAACTGCTCGACAACATTCTGTACCGTCGCAGCTTCAACACTGATGGCCCGGAATTACTACTCGTGCTTCCCCATCACCTGCGTACCAGCGTTCTCGAACAACTACATGACGTACCTACAGCCGGTCACCTAGGCGTCTCTCGTACCTACGATCGTGTGCGACGTCGCGTTTTCTGGCCCGGACTGTATCGTTCTGTGGTTCGCTACGTCACTGCTTGCGACCGCTGCCAACGGCGCAAGCGCCCCTCTGTGCTACCGTCTGGCCTCCTACAGCCCATTGACATACCGACGAAACCATTCTTCCTTGTTGGCCTTGACCTGTTGGGCCCGTTTCCTACGTCCACCTCCGGAAATAAATGGGTTGCAGTCGCCACAGACTACGCCACACGCTTTGCCATCACTAAAGCACTGCCGACAAGCTGTTCCACTGACGTCGCTGACTTTCTCTTGTATGAAGTCATTCTTCATCACGGCGCTCCGCGGCAGCTGCTTACTGATCGAGGAAGGTACTTTCTTTCACGTGTTGTGGATGACATTCTCCGCGCCTGCTCCACTGAGCACAAGCTTACCACCGCTTATCATCCACAGACAAATGGATTGACCGAGTGTCTGAACCGAACGCTGACGCAGATGCTGTCAATGTACGTTTCGCCAGATCACCGTGACTGGGACAAAGCACTCCCCTTTGTCACGTTCGCGTACAATTCTTCACGGCACAACACAGCTAGTTATTCGCCGTTTTATTTGCTATTTGGCCGACATCCAGCATTACCATTTGACACGCTTTTTCCTTCGGCTGCCCCCTTGTCTACTGAGTACGCCAGCGATGTCGTCTCTCGAGCCCATGCAGCCCGTCAACTTGCCCGTGATCGGCTGCACTTGTCGCAAGCGCAGCAAAAAGACCGCTATGACAGTCGCCACCAAAGCGTGCACTTCTCGCCGGGGTCTCTGGTACTTCTCTGGACACCAAACCGCCAAATCGGCTTATCAGAGAAGCTACTATCACACTACCATGGCCCCTACAAAGTGTTACGACAACTTAGTGACGTGAGCTACGAGATCGCACCCCTAAACTATGCCTTTTCGACCACCTCACTCCAGACAGACGTTGTACACGTTTCCAGACTGAAACCGTATCACCCTTCTCGTTCGTCGCCGCCGTACTAAGCGCCGTGACGGCGCTTCCGCCGCAGGGGAGTAATGTTACGGTGCATCATCGACAGGAGCAAGCGTGGCACTTAGCGAAGATGAAGAAGACGCCTGTGCGTTAGGCGCTTGCTCGAGAGGCAACTCAGACATCTTGTTCGGCTGCCGATTCTCGGTGGACGCTGTCCTGTAAGCCAAGACCTCGCTCCGTCACATTATTTTATACTGAGTACAGCGCTGAAGTTTCACGCCACTTCTCTCAGAGTATCGCTACGAAAGTAAGCGTAATTGAGTGCTTCGGCATTGAGACAAGTGAGACATATATGTATTAACGTGCCTGGGGTGTGATTCATTTTTAAGTCACCCGGATACCGAGCATTCATGCTTCGAAAAAACACTGTGTCCGTACAAACGCAGTTTCATTTGGTGGTCAAAAAGAAGTACTTACTGGCGTCGTGCCGAAGGGTTTGTATAACTACTTGCGCACTGAATGCTTCCGCAATGACCTACAGCACTCAGCTAAAAATTCACTGTACTACCTCGAAGGTTTGTACCTATCTGCTCCTAAGAGCACCTTCGGATACTGCTGAGCAACTACAGTAACAGTTTAAACAAACTTAAAGGTTTGACAAAATGATGATGATTCTTTTATCCCTTGACCCTGGTTCCAGTGGGACGTACGCCGCGGGCACAACCGTCTCTAGGACACCGACCCAGGGCCCTTCTTATATGTTCTTTTTGACACAGGGAACCTGCACACTTGCTTCGGATCATGCCTCGTGCCATGGTCAGTGGGAGTAAGGGGATTGATAGGTGGTGATTCTCGTATACTTCTGCCTCCTCCAAATAAGACGCTTTACCTCCTTTCATGATGGCGTGTGTGGTCCTCGTGGCTGCCGGCATGGCATCTCCACTTATTGCCTCGAATTCAGGCAGGCTGTCACAAGGCTCGTGTTGTGAGTGATCGACAGAGAGGTTTGTCACCTGAACGACGTTCTCCAGCCCGTTCGTCCGCACAAACTTCTCACGCTTGTTCTTCATTGCCATCACCTTCCGGACATTGTTTGTCTTGCAGCAATAATTTCTCAACAAATTTATGGCCTTCCCACTTTTTCTTTTCGCGAAGGGTTCCTTCTTTCCCTTCGCTTTCATTGCTGCTCCTGCAGCCGTTTCCGTGGCTTTCGTCTTGGCACCCTTTGCAGCCCTTGTCAGTCTCTTGCAACATTTGTCTACTACTGCAGCTTTAGTTGGGGCCTCCTGCTGGCTCCCTTAGTGGAGCACTTCAATCAGCATCATTGTAGTCACTGGTGTTCCCACACTTCCTTTCTGACTCATCTTCCTCACTCCGTACCCTGCATGTTCCCCTAGTGGTATGTTGATAGTCTCGACTCCAGGTCCACCTGCGCCGGTGTGCCCCGCTATCGTAATGATCGTACCAGCCCTTGTTCCCTGCGATGGTCGCGACCACGACGGCCCTCGGTGCAGGCACTTTGCTGACTCAGCGTGCCCCCTCGCCACGCGGGATGCAGTTGTGGCGAAGTGGAGGTGCTCCATGGTCTCCAGCAGTTTCTTTAGTGTGGTCTTCATGCTTGCTGGTTGCACATGGCAATACTCGTTTGCTGCCATTGTGACTTCCATTGAAATTTCAATAAACTGATTTACACACCAGTTTTTATTGTACCTGTTAGTAGTATAGTTTTCTTATAGCAGCATATAACATATTCAAGGAAGCAGCTTGGTTGTCTAATGAAGTAGCGTGGAGAATGTACTGTCTAGAGGAAATTTCCTGTCGTTTCCAGGTTTGTTTTTAGATATTATAGGTGTGAATGTCTGATATATTTCAAATGTCGCGCTTCGACATTCCTGCAAGTCTACAACTGACATTTTATATTTCAGCGTCGCCAGCTCCAACAGGCACCAGCTTTTGTAAGTAGAAGGCTACTTTGAAGATTTTTCTTGCTCGGGGAAACTCCATAGGAATGTATGGTCGACACAGTGTAATGGGATGGAAAAAGCACATACATCATTAATTTAAGACGCTGTTTAGTGCAGTTTCTATTTTTAAATGTACCGATTTTCTAGCACACGCACAGACCTAAATGATATATTGCGGCCTTGAACTCACTATCGAGGCCACGACAAACATTTGCCGTCGCATGACTGCAGGAACGTTACCTAAAGCTTCAGTATTCAATATTCATGATCTGTTCCTATTTTCTTGTAGACAGCTTAGCCTTCACCTTCACTTTTCCCGGTCCCCTACAGTAAACATTAGCATTGTAATTGAAATTACAGATAAATTCAATTCTAGTGTAGGCTCACGAATATTCACATGCTGTGTCCATTCTTCTTATCTGTTTAATGTGTGAAAAACCTCCACAATGCAACAATAACTGTGACCGAAAGATTCCATCAACCTCGAAAGAAAGCCGAGAACTTCACAAAGGTGACATCAACGCCAATTCAATTCTATTAAACACGGCAATATGTAACTGCCCTGATATTTATGCAGACGTATGGTGGTCACATACGAAGTACAGATTAACATCAAGAAAACAGCGCCAAACGCTTGTACAATAAGGTATTCAATGTACAAGAACACTATAATATAAGATTATTTCTGATTTAAGAATGGGCCTTATAGCGGTGCCAGGCTACCTAAATGTTGATGATTGCGGAAAATGTGCTGCGTTCACTGCCATACTTGGGTTTTCCTTCAGCCAACGCTCGAGTTGAGCAAAATTAGCTCACGCACTAGTGCGCATGGTTATAAAAGGAGTTTATTTCATATAATCTCAAAAAGTAAGGAGATAATTTTCAAATGTTTCCTTTGTGTAACATGTGCGCGCTAAATATTCTAGTTGGATTTCCTTTATTTTATACATTTAAGATTGTTCTGCGCATGTAACAATAAAAGGCAAGTGTATCTTACCTCTATAAACGGACGTTGTCACTATTTGAGCATAAGAGCAAATGTGTACTACAAACGTGATGCCACAAGTTTTGGCCGTCATCAAAGCTACTACGCACAGAAAACACTTACATCACTTTTTCAGTATTTACCAGATAGCTGCCTCTTATGCGTGAAGATGACAGTGTGATATCTGGTCTCACCTTGTCTCGTCACAGCGTTCTGCGACCAAAGGCAGTGCGTGAAGATGTGTCGTGAACGCTTCGGTGACAGGCTGAACTCTTCCAGTTGTCTGGCAAACGCATGCAAATGCGAGGTTACACAAAGTAAGTAAGTTACACAAAGTTTGTTAGAAGTGAGTTTCGTATACTGGTCTCATGCAAAACTATTATCAAGGCATCGTAAAATATAAAACCGGTTCTGTATATGTGGTGCTAATTGCTTGGCGCTGTTAACGGACATGGTGATAGTTTCACTGCTTGAATTTTATCGGGGCGCAATCGAAAACTGCCCTTGAATTCGGAGCATGTTAAACGATACCAAGTGGCCATAATAATAAACAAGGAGGTCACTTGCTCAGCGTTCAACGATGATTACTTGGTCAGCCGTGGCATGCCTTAGATCAGCTGTAAAAAAGTATTTATATCTGTACAGCTGGGAATCTAAGGTCCAGCACATGTTTGGCCATGTTAGGATTAAGGTTGCCTGTACAGCAGACTTTCAAAGACAGAAATTTTGCAGTATCCCGCAGAAACTTGAAAAGCAGCTCTATTTGCCATATGCGTGCACTATATTATCATATGAGTCTATTTCGACGAGAGGCAAAAACCTTGTCCACGAATTTGAAGAACGGATGCGACAGAATAATTTTCATAGTACTTGGCAATTTTGAACGAATATGAACACGGCAGAAAGCAGTAAAGACTGTGTTCACATATTTCTGAAATACTTATGGTTAGTCAGACTCAAATTAATTCACTAGATACACTCACTCCGATGAAAACTGGTCCTAGAATAATTGCTGAATAAAAATAACAAGAACGCCGAGCACAAGGGGATAAACAATTGAAGTATTGTTATGACAAGCAATGATGATAAAAATCTACTAATAAAGTCAAGAACGCTCATGTTCTCGGCGACGAGACATGAATACATCTCTTGCCCTTCTTGTGGCAGGCGTCCTCGTCTGGTTATTCAGCAGCAAACTGTCCAAAATCTGTTATATTGGCATAGTTTTGTATTATCAGTAGGCGTTTCTCCAACTGCATATTGAAAATCAGTGACATGAGGCTCATTTTAAAAACAAGCTCGTCTGTTAAATCGGACAATGAGAGACGGGGAATGTTTGGCACCCCACGACATGTTGATTTTTCATATTTCGCCGCATTTAATCAATGGGACGGCACCTGTTTATTTTCATGAATGGTGTCCTCCCTGATGTGATAAATGTGTGACAAAACAGCAATTCAGTTCATTAAGTAAAAATGAACGGTGCCGTTTTATAAACGGCATTAACGTAAAATTTTTACCATATGTGAGCTTTTACTTCCATTTTTTATCCTGTTTTGACGCTATGTGCTATGTATGTATGCTATAGCGTCAGTAAAAAAACAGTTGTAACCTAATTCTAGATACCATTAGCGTACTGACGCAGCTGCATACCGAAAATTCAAAGCAATGCCATCATCTCCGAGCGGTACATGTGCATCGAGGAACGAATCAACTTATTTCGTGCGCTCACCCGATTCGATATCACTAAATGTGAAGTTCACACATTCATGGGTATTTTTTTATTCTCTCAATTCCCTGAGCGTTTTGGAGAGCCTAAGTCACCGTGCTTGTGTGCATGTTTATTTGCGAGTGCGTAAACAAAAAAAAGCTTACTGCATTGGTCACAAAAAAATTATTACTTGGGGCTAAAGTTTACTCGTGGCAGGGCGGACTGAAAAGAACCATGTGCAATGCTACAACGTAATTGTACCGTACTCCCACTACGTGCTAGACGCGTGCTAAATTAAATAGTTGCTGAGTTTTTCACATACCAGGGCTACACTGTTGATCAGGTACCTCCTAATTTCCTGAATGCAGCCAGGAAACCAATTTTTCTTTTACGTTTACCTATATATGGCCACCGTTCAACTAGTACCTGATTGATTTATTGATTGATGATTGATTGATTGATTTTTTATTGATTGATTGATTGATATGTGGGTTTTAACGTCCCAAAACCGCCATATAATTATGAGAGCTTCCGTAGTGGAGTGCTCCGGCAATTTCGACCACCTGGGGTTCTTTAACGTGCGCCAAAATCTGAGCACACGGGCCAACAACACTTCCACCTCCATCGGAAATGCAGCCACCGCAGCCGGGATTCAATCCCGTGATCTGCGGGTCAGCGGTCGAGTACCTTAGCCACTAGACTACTACGGCAGGGCAACTAGGACCTGACCAAAGTGTACGGCTTGCTTAGGATCGCCCTGCTCCATACCCGCAATAACACCGTTATTTAACTAGCACTCACGCTTCGGTGTTTTAGGATTCATGGTCAGCTGGAAGAATGCAGCTGCTACGCTCACGAGATCCACCCTGCGTAACATCAGGAGGAGTCATTCATTTGTAATTGCCTTTTAGAAGTGTCACAAAACTGACGCGAGTAATCACGTGTACATTCCTAGTAAATTTTCTTTATGTCACTTTCTTTTTGTAGGACTTCCAGAGAACAAGTATGATTGTGAAATAAATAATCCACATATTCTTTGTGATTAATCGTGAAGAGCTCTTCCTCATTTTAATGATAGGTTTGACGTTGTCCGTATGGAGGTTGTGCGCACGGGTAATTTAGTCTTACAGTTAGCGACACATTTACTACAATAAGACCGCGCTAACGACAACATGTCGCGTGTAATAAGAACCCCTATGGTATTCCACTTTTCGCAGCATGCAGCCCGTCACTGTGCCTGGAGATGTGCCGTAAGAACAATCCCGGGCAGGAGGTACTCTCCGCTGGATGCCAGGGAGACAACTGTAGATGCAGTCTTAACCAGCGTAAGTTGATGAGGAGCTCTGTGACGTGTTTCATTGGGCACTGCCATTGGATGTTTTTCGCAATCTACCTGATTGTCCCGCGATTGCTATAGCGCATTTTCTCCCCAAGTAGAAAGAATAGCAAGCCATAATAACCTTGCGAATGCTTTTCATGGCAAAACATACATTCTTGAAGAATGTATTGTTATAGAAGTGTGACATCGTACTTGCTTTGTATATAAATTGTATATATTATTTTACTGTCATGATCCAGCTCATCTAATGCAGCAGATCTGACACGAAGGTTTCTGTTTTTAATTGCTTTGATTACATCAGTGTAAATATTTCACTAGCATGGTACATAGAGGACATTGGTTTGATTGCGTAGCTCAGGAAACACATATACACATATATGAGGCTGCTGAACTGCCTTCACGTACTTCAGACCTTCATTCAGATGACGATCAAATTTCAGCTTTCTGCTTCCAAAATGAAAGAAATAATAGCAAGGCCTACTCCATATTCTTAAGCTAATGTAAGCGCCTGCTACACCAATAATATACTTTAAAAATTACGCTTTGGACACCATACTAGAGCCCTGTTCAAAGACTCAACATAAAATAAAATCAATCGAAAACGACAGTATCTATGCACCTTGGCCTCGCCTCTTTTTATCTTCGACAGAAGTCGTTGAAGTCACTTATGAGTCGACTCACTCGGACACACGAAGACTCAGATCAAACCGTGAGTTGAATTCTTATTGAGTCCGGGTGAGCAATATTTTGGTGAACTGGAGTTCGAGAGAACTGGTTTAAGAAAATTTTCTTTAGTTTAAGTCCGAGTGAGTCCGACTCAAGAAAGTTTTGGTAAGTCTGAATCCCCACCACTCTCCCGCCATTCTGCTCGCCAATTAGCTTCTTCTCAACAATAAAGTTTTCTTTTTTGTTCTTTTTTAAGGTATTCTAGGTGTTCGCGTCCGACTACCTACAACGTGTTTTAGTTCTTACGCTATTCCAGTTTACTCTGCCTTTTTGTTTATTTGCTGTATATTTACTTTGATTTTTTACTTTCTATACAAACAGTGCATTTGTGTCAATACATGTCCCTAATATTGTCTCCCCTTGTGCAATGCCTTGTGTAATGCCTTGTATAGGCCTTTAAGGGTTATTGAATTATGAAGATTCGAAAAAGCCCAATGCGCAATATATATTTCTTGAGTCAGTCTGCATACGCACCAAAATTTTTTTGAACTATGATATTCGCCGATGAATTTTCCCGACAAAGGCAGATTTAGTGGGACGCTTGACTTCATACATTCAGGAAATCGAAATTTTTTGAATGCGTGAAGTCGAACGCACTGTTTTTGCGAAGACAAAAACAACGTCTCTGTCGAGCAATTTTCGAGTTTTTTGAACCAATCAGCAATAGCATCCAGGCTAAAGGCGACAGTGTAACAATGTTTTTCGATTTTAAAGCCGTCATCCTCATGTTTCCAGAAAACGTTAGCATCGAACGGATGGAATTGCCTGCTAAAGACCCTCCGTAACAAGTGATCTGAATTAGCAAAACAAAGGTAGTCAATCAAGCCATGCTTTTGTAACAGTCACTTAGGTCTTCGCCAATTTCCAGCATAACCGGCATTTCAGTAGCGATGGCGGAGTCGCCAAACCACAGCTACCATTCCGTTACATGCTCTGCTAAACAGAAGGAACAATAAGTGATCAAAGGGTTCGGTACAAATTTCTAGTAAATCTGCAGTCCACTTGTGTACCGACATTAAAGGTCGTGGGTTCTCGCATATAATCAGTCTATTTTCACAGTACTAAAGTGTACAAGAACCTGCTGAGCCGCAGGTCGCGGGATCGAATCTCGGCTGCGATCGCTGCTTTCTTAATGGAGGCGAAAATGCTGTAAGCCTGTGTACTCACATTTGGTTGCACGTTTAGGAACCCCGGGTGGTCGTAATTTTTGCCACTACGGCATTTCTTAAAATCACACGGTGTTTTTGGGATGTTTAACGCCACATATCCAATAATCAATGAAGCGTACGAGAGAAATTTCAAAGACATAGAAGGGCTGCGCAGCCAGATATAGGGCAAGATGTGATAAGCACGAAATAATCAATATGAAAACAGCAGACTAAATCTAAAAAGAAACAGGAGAAGCCGACCATAATCTTTTATATAATCAGCACACAGCCGATACTAAAGGGACCCTAAAGTAAAATAGCAATTTACGTGACAGTGAAAGCTGAATGTATGAAAACGTTTGAAACGACTTTATTATCAATAGCAGTGCCCTACTTACACATAAGATAAGATAAATGCATGGGAACACATGCACAACAATACCACATTCGTAAAATGATCTTGATTACGTCAAATGTATCCATTTTAATTATTCAATAGTAATCAAACAAGCTGAACTAAATAAAGAACCTTTCGTGCATCAAGAGACGTAATAAAATGTTGCTTGTTTGTTTCTGTTTGATTTATAAAAAAAGGAACCGCCGAACGTTACTATGAGGAATGGCGCGAGTTGTTCAAAAGTTCAATTATCGCCTTGTTAAACTGGACAGGTCCTGTCATCTAACAGGGCCCAGTTGAACCAAGCACGCCTGCCAATTCGGAGGCCATGGCGGGAAATCGTTCAATGGCCGTTGCTGCTTTGGCTCCCGTTGCTTTCGTTCTGCACGTAGGTAGGTAGGTAGGTAGGTAGGTAGGCGGGTGGGTGGGTGGGTAGGTAGGTAGGTAGGTAGGTAGGTAGGTAGGTAGGTAGGTAGGTAGGTAGGTAGGTAGGTAGGTAGGTAGGTAGGTAGGTAGGTAGGTAGGTAGGTAGGTAGGTAGGTAGGTAGGTAGGTAGGTAGGTAGGTAGGTAGGTAGGTAGGTAATAAACACTATTAGAATCCAACGAGGAATTACTGGCCCGGGCTAGGCCTCCAGGAGTTGTCGTCCGCTAAGCATCGGGCGATGTTTTCGGCGATAGCCCTGGCTCACTGTACAGCCCGGTAGTTTGATGAAGCTGCAGAATAAGCATACAAAAAATAGTATCATTTCGTGTAAAAGGCTAGTATCAGAAAAATTTCAGATGTGCTTTCCCGTGTCAGTGAACGTCAAGCAGACTCATAATGTTGATAGTATAAGATTGTAATAGCTTTCGAAATAAAATATGATGACCTGACATCCCATTTTCTTTCTTTTCCCCATTTCTCGTGCAGCCTGTGAACCGAGTGAATGCCGACGTCGATGTCTCCTTGCGCATGGTGACAAGCTTATCTCGGCTGACTGCGCGGTCAGGAACGCCTGCCAATGTGTCCACAGTTAGACGTGCGGAACAGCGGCGGTGAAATCTCAGTGCCTGAATCATCCCTACCAAATGACTTTGTAAATCGCACAAGAACCGGACGGCTCGCTGCAGACAAGACATCCGCGTCGCTACATGAGTGCGCTGTGAACGTAGTCGTGTGCAGGGAGGGGGGGGGGGGGGAGGGTAAGTGAGGCAGTGGGATCATTTGAAGGAGGGTGCCAGTTCTCTCCCGTATCCTACTTAGTTGGGCATCTTACACCATTTTTAAGGCGTGGGGTGTGGCTCATTATGGCATAACTGGTCATGACTGATTATGCAAGGTCTCTATCCGCAGGGTTATAATATTAATGTCAACCGAGGGGATTGGATGGTGAATTCAAAGAACAGCCTACCATCTACAATTACTACCGGATATGGGTACTGCAGGAAATAGAAAGCGGGGCCTTCGGAAGGTCGTAATTAAAAACATGCCATCACTTCCTTTTTTTCCTTTTTCATTTATGGTAGAACTTGTTCTTTTGTTTACTATTTTTCCCGAAAAAAACGAGCACAGTAGGAGGGGAGCTGCTGTGAAACTTGGCGCTGCGCATGCATATGGCTATCAAGATTGCCTTACCTCGCCCTGAAGATGTTATAGGCCGATGGGATTATGTCCAGCTATGAACACTCTAAAACCTGGCGTATATAAAAACGTTCTTCGCGCAGCGAACTCTGCTGAAACAAAACAATACTTCAGTCAAGGAAAAAAAATACTTTTAAAGCGTTTGCCATCTCATGCGTACCACAAGAAGTTGTGAATCCAAAAACAAAGCCTTGTGCTTCTAGGATGAAAACGCTCCAAATCATCAATATTGTGTATCTTATATATCCCACAAGCAACTACCATACAGCCGTGCCCTTTTAGCAGCAACAAGAACCACCAACTTCGGTAATAAAAATGTCTGACAAATACTCAATGTATTGACCTTTTCCTCATTAGGGTATACAATCAAATAGCTTGGCCGCCATAACACAAGGAGGGGCATGACACAAAAGTACGATGTGGCCAGGTCACCAGGCCTCTGTGTCGAGCATCTGTGTTCTATGCTCTCTCCATGGGCCCTATAGGTGTCAACATGCAATACCAACATGTCCATGCTCACGTTACTTCCAATGCATTGACGCCTTGGAGGATTCAGGATATTGCGCCTGCTGATTTGTAAGCTTTGTGCTCATACGGTTGGCAGTATTCATTGACAATCTAATACTGAGTCAATAAAAATGAAATGTACGCTTACATAATAACCCTTCTGGTCCTGCTGTCGTCAATTGACTACGCCACACAAATTTTTTCTAAAACCTTGAAAACGCAAGGAAACCCGTTCATTCTTGAAGAAGTATTTCTTCAACTATCTGAACTACGATCGAAACAACTGTTGTGTCATTATTGGAGCTACAAAGATGAATAATGAGAACAGAGTCGTCGGTGACGATGACGCGGGCAAGAATAGGCGGGAAAGCGGCCCTTTGCGGTTGAAGTTATGAAGTTTTTTCAAGACGTCTAAGATTTTCAAATACTACGTTTGTTCAGATTTCGTGCACTCTATAATCTGTTTCACACATCATGGCAACGTTGCAGAAGCGAGCGACACTTGTTGCAGTCATTGCGTTCGCAACTAAAAGTACTTGAATGTTCTTACCACCAATTATTTTTTTTTTTGTTTTTACGGCATGAAGTAACTGAAGATATTATCTGCCTTATAAACAAAAATGCCGTTAAACGTCTGATATTATGTGGCTGTATAGCTTAGTTTTCTCGGTGCGTCACACGCAGGCTTTCTACTGTGGGTGCGTCACGATGGCGGCCACCTGGACGTTTAGTGTCAGTGCAGAATAGCACGCTACAGGGTCGTTCGGTACATGTGTTTTTTTTTGTGCTCACCCCGCTATCCTCTGTTCGCCAGTCGTGCCAAAGGGGAGCACAAAGAAACGCGAGGGTGCACCCATACTAATCAGATGTCACGCGTGCAACCACGAAACACGTGGAGTTATACGTTTTGCTGGCCGAAAGTCTTGCATATATCTTCCACAGCGTTGCACCTGATGTATGAAATGGAGTATAGAGCAAAGCAACCATAAATTTGCCATTTTTTCGTTTTTATGACTACACGCCCATGATTATCTAGATTGATGCCATGGCTGTAAACCTATTATATACTTACAATAATCACTGCATTTTCCGTTCATGGTTTCCTGAGAGCCTAACCATTATTGAAATACGTACTAGGAATGTGTCTGACAAAAATAAAATTCCAGGGCTGAAAGGGTTAAAATGCCTCTTTTTGGTGCACGCTGAATAAAAGTTGCACAGCGCAAGAAACACCTATATACCACGCGCCGAAAACTCTCCATAAGAGATCGTGAGGTCGATAAACGGCCGGATTTTGAACCTAATCAATAATTACTGAATGCGTCGTGCGAATGACGATGGTGAATTAAAATAAAACATTAAAGTAATCGTGAAAGAATGTGCGCTGAAAAGCGTCATGCAAAGCAACACAGCACGTATGGCATGGTACTACGTTCTCTTGTTTTGTGACCGAATACAATTTCTTGCTATGGTTTATCGCTAACCACCTTGCAAAATTCGCGTATTTTTTTTTGAAATAGCGAAGGGAAGGTATTTGAAAAAAAAGTCACCTTCATATCTACAAAGGGAATGAGGAGCTTCCTCGGATGTGCACGGGAAGTTTCTTGGCAAGACCATTTCTGTGAGAAGGCTTCTTAACTAACCGGCGAATGATGTATACGTCAAAGGCAGTGGTGTCACGCACATACCGCGGCCGCCACTGTACAGTGTTGGCCACTTTGATCGGCCCATTGAACCACCTGCCCCTTTATGCGATACTGGCCGCTGCCGTGAGTGAAACCCTCTGCGTTCATAAATGGCAAACGTGGAGCTGTCAAGCGTTCATCAACCGGGTCCGGAGCAGGCAGGTGAGGCTGCTTAGGAGAATATCGTTACCCGTGCGTAACACTCATCGTAGCTAACTTGTCACGTGCTGCCATCCCTTTGAAGTGACGAGAACGTCGTGAGGAAACGAGCGAGGCAAATCACGCTGCAGACGATCCTAACTGCCCTGCAAGATCAAAGGAACTTCAGGTGATTGAAATCATTGAAAGGAGACGATGCTCTCGTAGAGAAGCAATTGCAGAAATTCAAAGCAGGAATCAGGGTTATGCCGGCATAGCAGCTCGTCCACCTCTTTCTATGGATGCATCACTTTCTCAGTCCATTTCTGCTATGGTAGAAAAGGCCGTAGAAAAAGTATTAGAAAACTTTTTCTCAATCCGTCCCACTCACTCAATAGTATTATGGATTCACAGATGGCGGGCGCATCTGATCGAATAACTAAGCGTATCCAACCTCCTAGTGCCTCAGTTAAGAAACCTGCCGAACATCAGTCAGATGTCTCTATCGATAATGAGGCAATGCCTTCCAGATCTAGACACAACTGAGCAGGAAGGTATATCTGATTCAGATTCAATAAGTAATCGGGATGTAGATATAGATGCTCGCGTTTTGAAACGCGCCAGATCACCAACTAGCAAATTTAATAATTCTTCTCATCCAAAAACAAAAAAGAGTGTGAAGGAACCTAGTACTAAAGCGGACTTCTAAAAAGATAGTATCTTAGATCAAGCAGTTGCTACTGCTTGCTTATCATCATAGGGTGCCTTAGAGTACTTCAGTGGAACTGCCGTTCCATTATCTCTGCTGCTACAGACTTATTATACCTAATTTCTCAACAATCTTCAGGCGTTATAATTCTACAATAAACTTGGCTGTCTGCTGATCAAAACTTCTATCTAAAAAACTATCAGTGCTTTCAACTGGACTGAAGCTCACGTGGTGGAGGATTATTGTTTTTCATTTCATCTGAAATTTGTCATAAAGGACACTTAGTTTACCAACAAATATCACACGATTATAAAGTATCGGTTCTGGAAATTCACTTTACCGGATGCGCGCCACTATCTATAGTCAACAACTACTTTCCGGATGGAATACGAGATGAAAGAGCCTTTGACGTGACTGTGAGTTTTGGCAGAAACAGTATACTATTTGCGGGAGACTTCAATTCCCATTACGTTTCATGGGGATTCCGCACTGATTCATCAGGAAAACGGTTGTGGGACTGAACTAATCGGAATAACCTTATTTGTTGGAACTCCAGAGTTCCGACATTCGTTCGATGTAATTCGAGGTCCGTCTCAGATTTGACATTTTCTAGCTCAAGTGTGACAATATCATCTTGATACCGCTACAAGTAGTGATCACTGCCCCCTGGTATTTGAAGTCAGCATTACTTTAGTGACGGTAGATCGCCAGGTGCAAAGTTTTGTAAACTACTCTAAATTTAAAAAGAACTTACAGTCAACGCTGTCTTCCTTGCCCAATATGGAAGCAAATATGAAAGCTATGAGCCTTTGTTCCACCCTAAAGTGTACAGTCAAAAAAATCACAGTTCACTATATCTTCAACAAAGGGAAAATTCATATCTGCCTGGTGGAATGTGGATTGCGCCAGAGATTATAGACGCCGCAACGCTGCATGGAAAGAACTCCTTACCAACCAATGTCCGACTAATTGGGGAGATTATTTATTTTCTAAAGCTACCTTTAGGAGACAGTTTCATTAGCGAAAGACCATTATGAAGAAAAACGGTACAGCTATCTATCCAAGAGCGGCAACAAGAAAGCTCTATTCAGATTTCTCCGTAATCGTAAAGCTATTACAGCACACGTAAATATTGACTCAGTTATTTTTTCTCCAACTTTAAACTGAAACTGCATTAGGATTGGAGAAGATATTTACATCACAAATCAAAAAAGTGTACAAAACCGTCATTCGGAAATGATTTTATTGAAGTAAGTAGGGATGAACTAGCGCACGTCGTTCGTATTCTGCCAAACACAGGTCCTGGACCAGATGGCGTCACTTCAGAAATGTTAAAAATATTATTCGACATCTCTCCTGAAGACCTCCTTAACATTGTCAACTATTCACTTGAAAATAGTTGGATACCTCCTGACTGGAGGCTTGCAAAAATAATACCGCTTCATAAAAAACAGGGACTAGGAATGCAGATAGATAACATTAGGTCAATCGCTTTAACATCACACGTAGTTAAGTTAATAGAAAGAATACTTTACATTATAGTTACGAACTTCATAACAGATAATGCGATACTCAGTGCGTGCCACATTGAATATTTTAAAATTAAGGCTACACGCGCTGTTGGAATGATAGGTAGGCTTGGCCGCCTCCGTTCCGATCCTCGCAGAGATACGCTGATCATGATGTATCGCATGTACGTTCGTCCGATTCTTGGATTCGGATGTGTACTATTCTCTGGTGGACCAGCATACAAAATAAACCCCCTGATTCTCTGATTCTCTTAGAGCGGGAAGCTCTACGCAGTTGTTTAGTTGTGCCAAAATTCACAGCTAACAATGTTTTGTATCAAGAAGCTCGGATACCCACCCTTGCTTGCTGATTTCGTATTTTAACAGTTAAAACCTATTTAAAATTTTCTGAATCCACTTTCAGAAGGCGACAGTTTGTATTCTTTGCCGAGCCTGGTGTCCTTTTCGGGGAGCATTGGTCCCGTGTATATAAACCCCAAGTGCTATTTCTTCAAACACTTCTAGATGCTTTAAATGTTAATATATTCGAGATCACACCATCTGTCAAACCAATCGGCCAAGCGCAAATACAATTTGACGATATCTTCCCCATGAAGGCTAAACACTTGCCCTCTAAATATTTGATTGGTTTATTAGAACAACACCTGTCTCAATTAGGTACTAATATAGCAATTGCAACGGATGCATCTATGAGTGGCGAGAAGGCAGGTGTGGGTATTTTTTCTCTCTCATTATTCTGGTCATTTTCATTACGCCTCCCAGATTA